ATGGTCCATCAGTTCAACATTTTATTCTGTCTATTAAATTTACTTCGTTTTGCATTTCCTGCTGTGACTGTTCCTTCCATACTTCCATATTTTGTTTCTCTCTGAACTATTTTGTTACATCTAACTGTATGAAATGTGTTCCATTAAAAAAAAAAAATCTTTTCATCCCATTAATCTTCTTTCTTCAATCTAAAAAAGGTACAGCACCGCCTCATTTATTAGAGTTCACACATCATGACACCCCTGCTAGAGTTCTGTGATCCAAAAACCAGCAAATTTGACTTTTATTGGAGTAGTTTATTAACATGGTTCTGGTGATATTTTACTTGTATTGTTTTTTTTTTTCATAGTTTTAAAATTTGCTCTTTGTATAACCCTTTTGAAACAAGAATGTGTAGCATGATCTAACTGCTTTAAGATAAAATAGAAAAGCAACAACAACTGGTCCCACTGACAGAATAGTGTAACACTGCCCATTACTTCCACGGTAATCGGTAAAATGTATTTATTATCATTTAGATTTTTGATACATACTTTGCAAAAATACAAGAAATGCACTGATTAAGCTTTGTTTTTGGTCAAATCTGCCGAATCATATTTGTTTTTTTAATAAAAAAATTTAAAAAAACACCCAACACAGAGAAATTAACTGCAGGGTCTTTTAAAAAGACAGTAGGCTTTAATACACAAAGTAAATAAACGAATTACAAGATTATCCATATTTATGCATCAAAGCACACCTCCCTAAGCTTAGTCTTATTTTTGCTAAACTAGAAAAACTGCATAAACGTACATGCTGTTTTGTTTTGATAAAAATAAAGACAGAAAATAGCAGGAACTCTTAGTTCTGATGCATTTCATCATCAGAAAAAAAAAATCTAAGTTTTCACTATTTGAACAGCAAATTGGAGCCAATCAATAGAAAACTGGCTGATTTCAATCTTTGGTTGACGGATTGGTGCATCAATACCTGCTACATTTGTTCATTTTGATAGGCAGCACACTCAGTTATAGTTTAGTGTCTATGACTCTTTGTGCCTCACTTGTAAGCAAAGGAAAACTGTAGCAGCCCTCCTTTAGCCAGCTGACTAGCAGTGTGCAGATACAAGTGAGGGAACGGGCAGCGCTGCTTTACTCCAAGCTCTTCACGGGTGAAGAAAACTCCGGCACCTTCTCTGGCAACTGGATTTGGAATTGTAGAAAGTGTAACTGTTTAAAACGTTGGTACTTTGTGATACCAACAAGTTCATGCCGGCTGCCACAGTGATTACATGAAAGAAGGGCAGAGGATAAGGAACAAAGAATGAGGTCAGTTTAGATACAACACCATTCATTACATTTAAAACAAAATCTTGATTGTTTCACAAACGTACAGGCCTAACGAGTTCAGACAACAGCAGGCTGCTGAATCTGCAGACTTTGTTCAATTTGTTAATTGCCAGTTCTGTATGTTTGTGCTTCCCTTGCTGACCGTTTCTGCTCAGCCTGAAGAGGCAGGAAGGAAGAACAGAGAGAGCTTCTTCAGTACTTTTAATGGCAGCGAGAATGCGAATGAGCTGTCAACCCCCGACTATGAAAACTCTTTCTGTAAAGCTTTCCAGCAGTCCTATTTCTGCACATATGGACACATCTGGTCGAGATAACAGAATTAGGATCTTATTCGATTACTTTTATGCTTGTTTTGCTTAGCTAATGTCTGTGCGGCGGTTTGATTTGATTGATTTTAGCAGATAAAGCAGCTCTTCGAAGTGATTTGCCTCTCTCTGGTAGAGTCTGTGGAGTTTTCGGGTTTGTTTCGTCGTTTCTGTGACTGGATATACGCATCAATCAAAACTATTTATCCAAACTAGCCGCAAAGAACACCTTGTTCGAGGCGCTTCCAAACAACATCTTATTACGTGAGCTAAAAAGGAGCCGACACAGGTCGAGAGGACAGCACGAAGTAGGACTTCAAACAGCAGTAACACATTATGTCCCATCGATGAAACACAAAGAAGGCAGTCTAAGCAGATTTCTCTTCTGTAGCGGACGTTTCAGCACTCACCTCAGAGTTCCTGGATAAAACAAAAGCGCCGTCCGCTAATCTGCGCATGCGCTGTGAAGCTGTGTGAAAGTAAGATTGGGTTTCTTTTGCTGTTGCTTGTTTCTGACGGTAGGAAGCTGGAAGCGCAGACCGGTCTCCGAGCTCGGCTTGTTCTCAGCAGTCTCCGGGAGATGCCAGCTGTTGTTATAAGACGGCCAGGAGGAGGGGCTTATTTCAGCCTCTCACAAGGAGGCGGAACCATCTGCAGTCGTGGCGGAGACACGTGACCCTGCGTGACACGCAGCTTTAACGTGAAGCATAAGATTTAAAGAGACATTTTATTTGTTAAAAGAGCGAAGGCCCTGGAGCACATTTGAATCTCGGCTGCAATCTATACAGAATTTTAATCTGTTGACAGCAAAGGTTAATTTTTTAGCTGACAAATGTGTTTCACTGGTCGCAGAAGTCTGAAAGTTATAGCAACTTAAATCCCAGTAACAACTTTAGCACATACAGTACTGTGCAAACGTTTTAGGCAGGTGTGAAAAAATGTAAACAAAGAATGCTTTCAGACATATAAATGATGATTGTTTATTTTTATCAATTTACAAAATGCTAAGTGAGCGAACCCAGACATACAGCCAAAGTCATTAAGAACTATTTTCAACATAAAGAAGAACAAGAATTACTGGAAGTGATGGTATGGCCCCTACAGAGCCCTGATCTCTGCATCATGGAGTGTGTCTGGGATTACATGAAGAGACAGAAGGATGTGAGAAAGCCTACATCCACAGAAGATCTGTGGTTAGTTCTCCAAGATGTTTGAAACAACCTACCAGCTGAGTTCCTTCAAAAACTGTGTGCAAGTGGACCTATAGAAGAATTGTGTGATTTAAATTTGATTTAGATTTCTCTTTTGTTCATTCACTGCATTTTGTTGATTGATGAAAATAAATGATTAACACTTCCATTTTTGAAAGCATTGTTTGTTTACTGCATTTTTTTACACCTGCCTAAAACTTTTGCACAGTACTGTATATACAATACTTTTTCATTTAATGGTTTCCTTTTTGTTTATGACTGTTTACAATGTATGTGGATTCTAACTGAAGGCATCAAAACTGTGAATGAACACATATGGAATTATGTAGCAAACAAAAAACTGCAAAAGAACTTTAAATATGTTTTATATTTTAGATTCCTTAAAGTAGACGGCCTTTGCTGTGATGACTGAAATATTAACCTTTGGCCATCTTTCAATGAACCTCTGGGAAGTTCTTTCAAGACTCTTTGGAAAACCATTTCAGGTGACCACCTCATGAAGCTCCTGGAGAGAATGCTAATAGAGCTAAGTAGTAATCAAGGCAAAGGGTGGCTATTTTGAAGAATCTAAAATATAAAAATGTTTAGAGTTATTTCACACTTTTTGTTTACTATATGATTCCATGTGTGTTCATTCACAGTTTTGTTGCCTTTGGTGAGAATGTATAATGTAAATAGTCATTAAAATAATGAAACCTATTAAGTGAGTGTACCTAAAACTTTTGACCAGTACTATATAAATGTGTGTGTGTTTGTATGGGTATATTTTGGACCCTTTACTAAAAGTCTTGTAAGATTCACACTCTTTTCCAGTTGGTGGCGGTAATACACCAAAACGCTGCTTGCCAACCCCCATTAAAACAAGAAGGGCGGTGACATCATCAGAGCTAGGTACAGTGTCTTTGCGTCCTTGGCAAGAATGCATGTTCTCCTGCACTTGCCAAGCAAACCAATACGTACTTTGGTATTGAGAAAGGCCCACAGTACCCTGTTGGAAGAAAGTTGCATTTAAATGAGTCTTCCAATTAGGACGATATTTGTCATGAGGTTGTGACGCAATTGGCTTTCTAAGGATGCCGCTGAATAGAGTCACAGCTATAGTGGCTGCTTCCAGGAGCTAGCTGCCTAGGTGCCGCTGCTGCATCCAGCTGTTGTTTCAGCTCTTCGTCTCTGTTTTTAGTTTGTCTTCATCCATGTGTACCCTTCACAGTTAGAAACCTTTCTCATAAATTAGTTAAACGTAATGTCAAGGTTTTCTTTTATCTTGTATGCGGTATCAGTTACATTCTAATACTGAATGTTTTATTGTTTCTAATTTGCAGTAAACATAACAGTGTTTGCCTGTTTAATGAAGTGTATTGTTTAATCCTGTGTGTCCTATTGTAAGCTGCTTTATGAAAGTTGCTTCTTTTCCATTCCTGCCCCATATTTGACATTCCAAGTGGACAGGGACCCTAAGCATACACTGTATTAATTACAAGGCGGCTAAAATTCTGCAAATTACGTTTTTTTGGAGTGGTCATCACAAAGCCCTGATATCAGTCCCACCTGAAGTTTATAGGTATAGCTGAAAAGGTGTGTGTGAGTAAGACGGCAAACAAACCTTACTCAGTTGCAGCAGTTCTGTCAGGAGGAATGGGCCAAAATTCCAGCAAACTATTGCCTACAGAGAAGAATACACAAAACTTTGGACTCAAGTCATACAGTTTAAAGGAAATTCTATCAAATGTTAAGGAATTGTACACAAACTTTTAAATTTGAAGAAAGCAACAACATAAAAAACGCTCTCATTATTCTGGCATTTAGCAAGTAGAATTATTAATTTTTGTTATCCCAAATGACATTAAACAGGCATAGTTTAGTCTAATTTGCAGTGAGGAAAAAGTGGTTATACCTCTTTTTATACAGTGTATGTAAATGTCTGATTTCAATTGTACATATATTAACAAAATTATAGAATTATTAGAAATAACATTAAGAAGCTCTTTAAATGTATCAGTTTAAACCAATAGGGTTAAGCCAAGTCCAAAATACATCAGCACGATCATTTTTTTTTTTTTAAAGATATGTTTTTTTGGCACTAGTGGCCTTTATTTTGTATTTTTTGACAGTAGGTAGACAGGAAAGGGGTAGAGAGAGGGAGACACTCGGTAAATGTCGCCAGGTCTGGGACTTGAACCCAGGAAAGTTGCTTCGAGGACTATAGCCTCTGCATATGGTTGCGTGCTTCACCCCTACACCATCAGCGCCGTGCCCCAGCACGATCATTATTTAGGTTGTTTGATTTTAAGCAGACTGATGAAGTAAAAAGATTGTTTGGGTGGCCTTTTTATTTAGTTCTGAAGTACTACGTCTAATGAAACCTATGGACATTGCCAAATTTGTGGACCTTTATAAAACAATAACAATGGTCAAAACAATGGTTTGTACCTCCCCGAGTCCCCAATTTTCTGCTTTTCTTTTAAAAAGTAGGGGTTAGTCCTAAGCCCACTCCAGCTTGTTATGAATACATGCCTTGTGCTCTTGTTGTGCCAATGGATGATCTATTTATTTGGTTTAAAGTCACATTCAACATCAGCTCAGTTATTGGTAAGCTACAGACACAACACCCCAATGCCTTTGTGGCAATATCTGGTGATTTTAACCATGCTTCACTCTCTGCTACACTTCCAATGTTTCAACAGTTTGTCAGCTGCTCTACCAGAGAAAACAAAACATTGGATTTGTTTTATGCAAATATCAAATGGCTCATACATCTCTAAAAGCATCTCTAAAGCAAGACCTCCTCTAGGCAAATCAGATCACAATCTTGTTTTACTCTGCTCCAAGTCCTTTGTTCAGAGGCAATATGTAATAAAGAGGACTGTGAGAAGATGGTCACAGGAAGCTAAAGAAGCTCTGCAAGGTTGCTTTGAGGCTACAGACTGGGACGCACTGTGCCAGCCACATGGAGAGGACATCAATGCCATGACTGAGTGTGTAACCGACTATAAACTTCTGTGTGGATACCACCATCCCCACCAGAACCATGAGATGCTTCCCCATTAACAAACCCTGCATCACCAGTGACCTGAAGGACCTGCTTAACAAGAAAAAAAGAGCCTTCAGAGAGGGAGACAGAGAATTATTGAGGAGTTTACAGAAGCATCTTAAAGTCAAGATAAGAGACAGCAAAGAGGTGTGTAAGAAGAAGCTGGAGAGCAAGCTCCAGCAAAACAATAGAGATGTCAGAGATGTGTGGACAGGGATGAAGAAGATCACAGGCTTCAAGCAGAAGGAGGATCAGACCGATGGATGTCTGGACAGAGCCAATGAACTAAACACATTCTTCAATAGGTTCAGTTCAGAAACAAGCTTCGCATCTTCCTCTCCTGCTCACAGCCAAACAGACATCCCACCCTCCTTTGTCCCACAGCTTTTCTATCACACCTCAAATGTTTTATCTTCTACCTCAGCCATGGACCCTTCTGCTTCTACATGTTTGCCTTCAACCAAATCAGAAGATACTGATGCTCCGTTTGCCTCCCCCTTCCACTTGTGTGTCTCAAGAAGTCAGGTGAAGTAACAACTGCAGAGACTGAACCAGAATAAGGCTGCAGGTCCAGATGGTGTCAGCCCTAGAGTCCTGAAGGCCTGTGCAGAGCAGCTCTGTGGGATTCTGCAGCACCTCTTCAACCTTAGCCTGGCCCAGAAGAAGGTTCCGGTGTTGTGG